AATAATAATAATAATAATAATAATAATAATAATAATAATAATAATAATAACAATGATGATGATCAAAAGGTAATTTCAAAATAAATATTTATTTTAGAATTTTCGAAATTTAGGAATTCAGTTTTTTTCTGTTGAGTTTTAATAAAAATCACACATCTAAAAGTCAAGGACAAAACATGTTTCTCTTTCCTCTTATAAAGTCTTTCTTTTTTTTTTTTTAAATATACATTCATACATACAATATCAACCATTAGTATTACTTAGCACAAGATAGATTATGCAATTGTAAACCTATAGAAATTGTTATTATTATTCATATATAACTTAACTAAGCAAAACGAAAAAGAGGAAATCAATTTATCTTTTCTTGTTTATTGTAGAAGTCAGACTTAGTCAAGCAAACAAATTCTGTTACTTGTAACTTCCGGTCATCATCACAACTACTGATTGATAATAAAATTAAAAATGAATCACTCGAGCATCACCAAAACATACAACAAATATCTTCAGTATTAGAATCAAACAAAGAAAAAATTCCAAGTTCTCCATTAGTTTCTTCTCATACAATAACAACAACAACAATAACAAATAATTCTTCTCCCACGGCTGCCGATTACCTTACCCTCGACGACGATGAAAGAGAAAAGAGTGGTGCGTCTGTCGATGTCGTCAATACTACCGACATTCTTAATATAAAAGAACAAAAAGAACAGTTGCAATGCAAGCAAACAAATACTTCCAGCATTGATTCAAAACAGTTTACTAACGTTGAAGAACACAATCGAATCATGAGTACAGATAATGAATCAGATGACGATTTAGAATTATTAAAAACACTTTCTCAGTTACATGGTATAGTTAATTCTACTCAATCTATGGAAAAAATCAATCGAGTTGAACATCAAATGTCATCGGATTCTTCAAGTATAAATCAAGATCAAAATTCTCTTGAGTATTCACATGAAAATATAATTACAAATGGAAATGAAGCAGAATTATTAAATAAGAAAAGCCGACAAAATACTCATATAATACTACCAACGTCACCCTATGTCACTGACACTATAAAAAATTCCGACGAAGAACAGGAAGAAAAAGACGAGAAAAAAAACATTATTTTTTATAAAAATCATAATGGTGATGATGATGGTGACGATAAGCAAAAGGAAAAATACGACCATAGCGAAGAAGAAAAAAAAACAACTACGTTTTTTTCTTTAACATCGACGTCTCCTACTTTATTCAATAATGATTCACACTCAACTATCGCTATTCTCGACCCTGATACGTCGTCTTTATTACCCAACTTGTTATTATTATCATCAAACAAACTAAACGATTCGTCATTACTTTCGAATCAATTAATCGCCGACGATTCGCAAATATCAAATATAAAATCAAACATGGATAATTTATCTAATGATGATCGTAATCAACAAACAGCTACAGACCTATTTGATCCATTTTCTCCAACAAACACAACTACAAAAACAAAATTTTTCGATATTTTTAATGATTCAAAAGATGCTGATGTAAACGAATTAAACATGCCATCAACTACTTTACCTTCAAATACAATGTCAACAGAACCATTAGGAAATTATAGTTTTGATGATTTATGGAACCAATCTATGTCACAAATAGAATCATCAAATAATCCTGAAATGAAACCCGATAATAACATTGATTCAAATCCATTTTCATGGGATGCATTTTTGAATAATGATACTAAGAATGAAAAGTTAAATCCATTTGATGATAATACAACTGTTCCAACGTCAAATATAACATGGGAATCATTATTTGGTGAAGAACAACAACACCAACAACAACGACAAGAAGAAGATACAAATGATCTTAAAGATTTTCTACATTGGATTATTAGTCATTTAGATGATTCTGAAGAATTTAATATTCAACCTACAGTTACATTTACTTCAACACAAAATCTTGAAAGTATTGCAAGAGAAATTCAAATGTGTTTATTGCCATTCGAACCGATTCCATCACCGCCATTACATGTGGATCATACAGTTTCAAACCCAATGATCAATGCAATACATCACGAATTATTTCCTATTAATGAATTAGAACAATTAAATACAACTCAAGGACAACAATCAATGATATTATATGAAGAAGATGAAGAAGAAGCTGAGGAAGAAAATGAAGATGAAACTGAAAAAGAAAATGATGAAATAGTATCTGCCAATTATGAATTAAAATTAATTGTTGAAAGATTAGTTTCAAACATTATACAATTAGCCCTCGCCGAAGTTAATGAATCTTATAGTCAAATCGAACATTTTGTTGATCAAATATTAGCACAAGCAGTATTTGAAGTGTATAATGAAGATTATAATTTATCAATGTTAGAAACAAATGATATAATACCAACAGAAAATCTGGCTACAATTATTAGTTGGCATAATTCATTAACAACAACAACAAATAAAAAATTACTTGATCCATTTGATAAAAAATTCGATAGCACTTTGAATACTCATTTGCAAGCACCAAATCATACCACGAATGAAAATTTAGTTGACAATGAAAATAAAATCAATGGTGATCCATGGTTATTAACAACAATAGAACAGAATAATGATTTTGATCCAATGACGTTTTACTCTAACACTCTTGATGAATCAGATTTGTTTTCTTCCACGAGTAATCCAACGAATAAAGTTCCGGAACTTGAAGATGATGAAGCGGGAACGCTTAGTGAATATGTACCACCACCAATATTAAGAAATTCTTCGAATGCTACTACGGTTGCTAACAATATGATGAAATATACATTAACAGCGCCTGTCTTTGATGATAGTGGTGATGATAGTTCGTTTCAAGAAGATTATTTTATGTCACACAAGGTAATTACTGATTTAGATTAATTTCTCTTGTCATACTAACTCGAATATTTTTTTATAAAATTCTTTGAAGTATATGGGTAAACTGATTAATAACACTGCTATATTGCTTTCAACTCATTTACATTTTTATATTTGATTTCCTATATTGTTTTTCTATACTTGAATAATTTTGATATAATTATACATTTAGAATGAATCATCCATAGAAATGAATACTAAAGTTAATGAAGAACCAATTAAAACAAAAGATTTAGCAGTATGTTAATAGTATTAGAATAATTAAAAATACTGAAAAGAAAAATATGTATAATTTTATTTTTCTAGTCGGCAGATGAAAATGATGTTGAAGCCGATGAACAAAATATATTTTCACAAAAAGGACATTCATTACAGTTTGAAGCTTTTGCTAGTGATCAACCACTGGATTCATCCGAAAATGATTCGAAGTTCGCTAATATCACTGCTCAATTTAATGAATTTGATGAGTCTTCACAATTGCAACAATCAACAGATGACAATACACCATGGATAACTATTGAAAAAACACCTGAAACTGTTCAAACCAGTAGTATCAGTAAAGATGAACCATGGGAACTTGAAGATAGTGGTGAAGAAAACATTACACCAGGTTTCACAACAACAACAACAACTCAACATTCAGAAGCATTTGATGATAATGAACTTTCAACAACAGAAAAATCTAATTTACATAATTATTTTTCTGATTCATTTAATACACCAATAACCATTGAAAAACATCCAAGTGATGATAAAGAAAATCATGATGATTATTTTACTAAACATCAATTAAATGAAAATGCCGAGCAATCATTAGCAAAAAGCGCACATTTCGATGATAATAAAGAAAACGTACAAGCCGTAACATCATTAAAAGAGAATCTTAATGCATCAGAACCATCGACAACTAGTGATTCAGATATAGTTGAAGTCAATTATGTTGCACCAAGTTTTGAAACAGTTGGTGATCATATTACTGATCATATGCAAACAAGTTATGTCAATGTTGATGAAACAGATGTTAAAGTATGTATTTATTTTCTCATTTCTTTTTAATCAATTGAAATATTATTACATTTTATTTTTAGATTGAACTTCCTAATGAATCAGTTGAATTAACACCACGTATGGTAAGCGTTCAATCAGAAAATGAAGATTTACCTCCACCATTACCACCCTTACCACCGTTAAATAATAAATCAAGTATTTATTAACACAAAAAAAAAAGAATTTTCTTTTTCTCAACAAAAATTTTTATTCTTATGTTTTTTATCAGGTATTTCAAATAAGGATTCGCTGTTAAAATCAGCAATTTCATCATCAAACACAAATACACAATATAAAAAAAATTTACGTTCAGAATCAGAAATAGTTCCATCCAATCAAACAACAACTGATACAAAATTTCGTAGTCAGACCGATACACAAGCAGTTTATCCATTTGAATCAGGTATTGCAATATTTACACTTTATATTTTGTTGAAGGTGTTTGATGTCGTGTATAATGTTGATTATTTGACGATGAAGAAAGTTTAGTTGTAAAATTTGAAACCATATCATGATAATTTGGATTATATGGTACTTGTAAATTAACCGTTTTCGATTGTAATAATGTTGTTGGTTGAATAACATTTGGTCGACGTCGTTGTTGTTGTACTATTGGTGGCATAGCAATAAGAATAGGTAGATTATCTTTTCGTGGTTTTACTAATGGTATTTGATTTTTATGTTTTTTATGTCGTTCATCAATTAATATTTTTAATTCAAAAATTTTTTTTCTTATATATTCATCTTTTAAATCACTAACAGTTAATGAACGACAAAGTTGTTCGAGATCAATAATTGGTATTGGTTCCTGTTGATATTGTTTTAATGGAACTTTGCTAGTAGATGGTGTTGGTTTAGAAATTTTTGTCTAGAAATAGAGAAAAGGAAAAAAAAACAGCAAGAATGAAATAATAAAAAAGATTTTGTTTTTTGCAATACTGTTACTGGAATAGTTGATGATTGTATAGGTTGATTTGTATCGTCTTTTGTTTCAAGATAATCAAGATATTCAAAAAGTTTTTTATCTTCATTTATATTTGTTGTTAAAGTTGATGTTTGAATAATTGATGGCAATGAATTAGGTGCCGGAGGAGAAGGAGGTGTTTTAATGACTTGTTCAACTGTTTTTGTTGATGGAATAATATGTTCATTTGTTGGTCGTGTTTTTTTTTCATTTTGTTGTTCAATAAACCAATTATTATTTTTATTTAATTTATTAAGATTTTCACATGACGTTGTTGGTATTGTTGTTAATGTTTTATTGATCATATCAGCTAATGTTAATTTTGTTGATGGAGTTTCTGATGCTGATGAGTTCATGTCATTAAATATAACACTATCAACTTCATCATTTTCTTCTTCATCAAAAATACTTGAAATTTCATCATCGTCATCAACATCATCGATTTTTTCATTTGTAATCGGTATATCTGATGGTGCTTTTTCAATACGTACATCAATTTGTTTTGATGATGGTGTTGTATCAGGTTGTTTAACTGATATATTAATCATATAAGTTTCTTCAAACATACAACGAGATTTGGCTTTTTTATCGTCAATATTCAAATTTGAAATATTTGTTATTTCATCTTTGATACATAGTATTTTATCATTATTTTCTTCAACTTGACAAGTATTCATATGACCTCGTTGTACATCATAAGAACCGTGTAAGAAAAATTTAAGTAATTCATCTTCACTACGAACTTTTGTAGTTTCCAGTTTTGATTTTCGACAAGATGGTACAGGTTTATGATAAGATGTTGAGATGGCAAGAGTTTCACTGGCCATTGGATATTACGACAGAATGTATATCACGTTTGGTCACAAAAAAAAAGAATGAATATGAACATCAGAAGTAAAGGCGTATGTTCGAACGAATACTCATGGTCAATACAAAATCGATTGAAAGCTACATCATCATCATCATCATCGTGTAGATATATATATATGCATACATCAATATGATGAAGCAAAAAAAGCCTTGACCGCTAACTGCTCACTCTCTATCGTTATTACGTAGTTGACACACATGTCATATGATTGTATCAGTGATGCACATCATGTTCTCATGACCAAAAAAAAAAAATTTTAAAAATAAGAATATGAATTAGTTTTGAAAGATATCATTTTTTTAATAATTGTCTAAAATTGAACTAACTTAATTGAATGCATATGGTATTGATTGAGCTGAATGGAATTCACGAGATTCTTCTATAATAGCTGTGGTTGTAGATGACATTGTTCTCATTGGTGGTCTAAATAGTGGATCAGTTTCTACCGGATCAGATTCAGATGAATCAAGTCTATTCAAACGATAATTATCGTTATTTACTGCTGTTAATGTTGTTTTTTCACTGGATTCATGCTTAATACGCATAAAACTTGGTCGACGTGTTTTTTGTTCATTAATCATATCGAATGTTGGTGTTGCCGGTGTAGAAACAGACGCAAATAATGCTGTAAACGGAATTGTACCAATAGCATTACGACGAATAACAAGATTTGCAATAGTATTGGTTGAATTTGGTGATGATGATTCACGTCTTGATAGTATTGATTTCATAAATTTAGTTGCTTTAATCGTGTCATTATCATCATTTGGAATTGATAATGATAATGATTCATTTTGTTGTTCACTTTGATATTCACCTTGAATAATACGTTGTAATTCAGCAAACGATACTGGTGTATATAAAAGAGTAGGACGGTCACCTTGATAAAAAAATGACGATGAACGACGACGATCATATGCTTTTTGTCGTCGATAACAAGCTGTTTCAAGGCAATGTAATATAATTCGAATTAGACCAAGTAATAAAAGACATGTAACAATAGGTGATATTCCAATTAAAATAGCGTAAAATGCTCGATGAAAACATTGACTCGAACAATATTGCATTGTCATTTATATAAATATGGTACTTAGTTCGATAATAATTATTATTAATTATACAAGAAAAATTTACTTGCTAAACTTTTGTGTTTTTTTTATTGTTGTTTGTAATCGAAATATCAACAATGTATATTGCTATGATTTTACAAACTTTTGGATTATTGCTAACGAAGTATTGAAAACAAAAGAAAAGAAAGGCAATAGAGATAATAATATCAATAATAACAAAAAACAACAACGGCAAACATATTAGAAGCAGAAATAGGATAGAAGCTTAGCGGATAAGTTCCACATCAATAAGGATCTATCTATGATTATAACAGACGAAGAGAATTACAGTTTAGCATGCGATGTTACCATCGTTTAGGCTGTCTGCTAAACGATGACATACATATTGATGGATGACAAAAAGCTGTATTTCTGTTCTGCATGATGAATCAAACGACTTGAGGAATAACTTGTTGATCGGAAACATCTATAGATGGATTTGAAACAACAAGACATTGTTCCGAACATCGTACAATTTCTAATTGTTTTTTAAGTCGCCAATTTGAATAACAACGTGATAGTTGAATACATACATTTAAACTAATATATAATACAATAGCAATAACTAAAGGTGTAAAACCAAGAAGTAAAGTATTTTTCAATGTTGTACTATTGTTATTAGTTTCTGATTGTTCAACAATATTTTTTCTTTCCTAAAAGTAAAAAATAAAACTATTATTAACAATAGAAGAGTATAAATTTATCTATACTTCAGTAGTGACCATATAGTCTGGTTTGACTAACTTAGAAAAGTTATGATGACAAAATGAGATTTGCGTCTTTTGAATAAGGACTAGAATAAATATGTGTGCGTGCCTTTGTCAGTTCAAATAAGCAGATCACTACCCAATCATATAATGAACGATGTGGTTCTCTTCGAGAGATATGTTAGTAGAAAGAGCAGATCTCTACTATGCTTTCTTCTGCATCCGCTCATAAGTATAAAGTCCTTCTCGTTGCGCCGTTGAATATAGAAGATTGAGAAAAGAGCGACCGACGAATAATCAAGTGGTAATAACGGAGATTCCGAAAAGAAACAGACACAGACACAGAGAGAGACATGTAACCAAGAAACGAGCAAGAAAATATGTTCTTAATAATTGTTTGTGAGAAGAACGGTCTATTCTGAACAGCGTAAATGAAATCAGTTGATGTATACGCGCATGCTCAAGATAAACATAAAAGAAAAGGACGATTTATATCAAAAAAACATGTTTTTTTTACTGTGGTTACTATTTCAGGAAGCTATGTCTATTCATTTCCGTTCATTCACTCATCAATATGAGCAAATGTTTGCCTATGAAAAAGAAAAGAGAATATGAAAAGAATATTTGCAACATCCGTAGATCCTATTTAAAAAAAGGAAACAACACGACGAAATAATCAAAACAATTTTTTTTCTCGTATAGCTCTTCTTCGCTCAATTTCTAAAGATGATAATGATGTTGACTCAGACGAATTAGATGGTGTGATTTCATGTGTGATTGATAATATTCCAGTTAATATTGACGCTAAAACAATTAGTCCATTCAAGAGTGTCATTACGTCAGCAGGCGCATTATATGAAGATAATCAAACAATTGTAATTGCTATTTATGGTTGTTGGTTACCTGATCATCGTCTTAGAGAATATCGTTATATTATGGATCAACTTTTTTAGTAAGATAACTCTAATGTTTATTTTTATAGTATAAATCATATTTATTTATTTATTTATTTATCTATAATATAGTTATGTTTATCATAAATTAGAAAAATTAGTTATAAATGACTATGTTCTAATTTATTTTCATGGCGCAACACCAAAACATCGAACACCGGATTTAAAATTTCTTCGTAAATGCTATCAAATGATTAATTTTCGGTAGAATATTTTTAGTTTTATATTCATTTTTATTATTCTTATCTTTTGTATTTAAATATAGACTTCGAAAAAATCTTCGTTCAGTCTATGTTGTACATCCAACACGATGGCTTCGTACTATTATTGCTCTTTCTAGACCATTTTTTAGGTAACAGAAAAAAGCATTATTTTTACATCTATGATTTATATTGATTTTCTCGTTTTTGTTTCTTCTTTTTAATTAGTAAAAAATTTTATCATAAAATCAATTATTTATATACAATTGCTGAACTTGAACGACAATTTCCTCGTAATCGTCTGTCAATTCCAGCTATAATAGAACAGTAAGTTTTTGTTTACTGTGTATTTCATTGAAAATATCAGACAAGTGTTCTTACGGAATTATTTTGATGAGAAAAACACCTGTTTTCTCTTTATCTAGATAACATACATTAGTATCTATTTACAACTATCAATAAGGAAAAAGAAAGGTAGCATATTGTTTTTGTAATTAATATTTCGGGAAATTAAATTTGGTGTTGTCTTTTTTTTTGTACAATTGATTGGTGATAGTGGTGATGTTTCATCGTTATTATTTTTGCCTTAACTTGCTTTTAGATATGATCGAACTTATCGTGCTCAATAAAAACTAAAAAAGCGAATGTATAAACTATGGTAGAATAAAAAAAAAATAACATATCACTCTTGTATTTAACTTGTGTGTTATCATGAATAACAATTTTCTTAGCTTTTTCTCTTCTTGAATTTTTATACTAATCAAGTTGATTTTTTCTATTGATAGTAAACAAGAATTAATGGGATTAAATTTACTAAGAAACCGTTAAGATTTTTATTTTCTATTGAGATAGTAAGAATGGATAAAAATATAATATATATATCCCCGATATTTATTCAGACATGATGTACGGCTTTCGAGAAGCAGACTTTTTCGATTTTTTCATCGGTTGTAATTTGTAAGTATGTGTTTGAAATATATTTAGAAATGAAAGAAGAATTTCATGTATGACTATTTTCCTATATTTAACACTGAAAATGCTCGTTAGCTTTTTTTTATTTATTGTTTATTGTATGCATTATAGTATGGTGTGTGTGTTTGTTTGCTTTTACTTACATTTATATTAATTTCGGCGTTCCTCTATGAAAGATTCAAATATATATACATATATTTACATGTTATAGGACAGATTGGCTATATTCTCAAAAGTATGATCGTCACAATGCAAGCATAAAACGTTCTATTGCACAATCAATATCTCGATCTATGGTTCATAATGAAGATGAATCAGCTGCTTAAAAATATCATTTGCTATTCATGATTATTTGCGGTTATACCCGGTCTTATTATTATTGTTTTATTTTTCTTCTATAATTTAAATTCTATTCTTGCTTTTTTTCGTTTTTCTTTGTTGTGCAATAATGTGGTGCTGCGTTTTGTTTTCTGTTTGTCTTTTTTTTTTGCGTATCGTACCTCTACTTAGTGACAGTTGATATTGTATATGTGCATAGGCAAAAACACTGTTTTTAGCAATTAAAATTGTATGCTATGTTTCAAAAAAAAAAATAGCAAGACGAATTGAAAATCAAAACAAAATCGAAAATTAGAAATCAGACAGTGTACTGCCTCGTTTTTTTCGATATATGTGTGTGCTTTTTTGTTTCTTCTCGATATATTTTTGAAATACATATATAACTAGTTCGTCACTAATTTCAAATGATGTTTTATTGAACTAAGATATGAATATGTAACTACTACTAAATTCACAAGATTAAATCTATAAATATAGAAGCTATATCAATGGCCAAATTGTATGAGAAAACCTCATCAAGTGATAAACTATTTTGAAGACAAGTCTTATCTCACATAATAAACCCAATTGGTATTGGATAAAGTCTAACATAATTTATGCTTACGCATCTTTTTTATTAGGTTTTAGCCACTCTAAGTGTTTGAACAAAATACCATGTTACGCTTCACAATCGAGTTTTGAGTTCAAATTTTGCATAAATAAAATTCTCAAACAGTCTTGTTCATTGCGAAAATATCAGACTTTCTTATACCTTTTAGAATGAAATGTAAGTATATGAGTACTGTTTGTTTTTCATATAATAGAATATTCATTATTAATATCTAAGAATAGAAGACACTAGAAGCTCTTACAGTATTATAATGAATTAATCATTTTGACAACTGTAATTGACAAAAGTTTGCAGTGGAAACTCGATTGGGAAGATGATTTAAACAAGACCACAATGTTCTGTTGAAAAACTGATTATAATAACCATAAATAGAGATGAAAGATCCATGAACACGATTGCTTTTAAGCATCGTCTAGTCTCCATAGAATTTATCTAATGAGTTAAGACTCATCTCAAAATCAATTTGCCACTAAGCCGAATTCATTCGTTAGTTCAAGATATACAAAGCATAGCTTAGAGTTCAATGATCAATTATCATTTATATGTTTCTTGAAGAATCGTTTCCATTCTTGTATTTTTCCAATTGTTCAATCAATTCTATAGTTAACAACATCCATTCATTGTTTTTATATTATACAGGCATCATTGAACAAAAAATATGCTGTTAACTATCTCAGTTACCGTCATAATTCTTTTGAGATTTATAAAATTATTGCAACATCTTAATAATATATGTGTATATAGGTAATTAATTTTAAAAGGCTGTAATGAAAATCAATGCAAAAAAATTGATATACGTATATTGATTTTTGTGAATCGTCATATCGTAGCTGAGTAGAAGATACAAAGTGAGAACTGTTGTTGTTGTTTATATGATGCACATTTCTTGTTGTTTACTATAGCGAACTACTCAAAATGTTTCATGACATATGTTTCCATCGATGCTAGAAAATATTTATGTATCCATGTACAGATGCTGCTATTGTTATCGACCTTAAGAAAAAAATAGCGCCAATGATAAATGGACAGATTTTTGACATTTTTTTAATGTTTTGCTCCACAACTGACAAAATCTCGAAGCTGATCATGACTATATGTTGATTAAACTTGCATCTTTGCATAAATCAGCAGAGAGCTTATTGCGAAATCTCAGATTTTTTAAAACTTCTTAGGCATTCATATTGAAACTGATATGAGATTCGAGCGAAAACAATATCGTTTGCACTTTTATCCTGAAAGAGAACTTTACAAAATTATTAAATTAGGGCATTTATAGCTTTTTAGTTATTGTATTGCTTGCTTTCACTGAATAGCTATTTTTAGTAAGAGACAAGTCATTTGGTGGAATCTGTTCATAATTTGGATTATTTGTAGAAATATTACAAATACGTTTTTTAAACCTAATCGAAGTTAATAAAAAAATCGTGGAATTTTGTAAACTAAAAACAATGTTAAAAATGAAATCGTATTTTTAAATTTTTTTAAGATAAATTGTATTCACTCAAAATTCAATCATAAGTTAATAATTGAGTCAAATTTCAAGATATAGAAACTTTTAGTTATATGTGATAACTTAGCATGATCCAATCAGATAAACTGCTCGGTTTGTGAACTAAATGTCTTGAGATTGATACTCTGTCTTCATTGCTCTTCTGTTCTCTTTGGTAAATTCTGACAAGGTTCTATCAAGAAATCCTACTATGTCCTCGAGGTCAGAATTCTGTTAAGTTTTTGTCCAATTCATGTCTTAAATCTTTGACACGTACTGGTTGCACGTTTTTTTAAGGTTGACAGTTTCCTGAACCGATTCATCGATTTTAATCTAGTAGTACACTGATCAGGATCATAGTTGGACCCTGTTTTAAGTCTGTCAACATCTTGAAATTGTGCAGCTAAACGTTGACTTTATGATTTAACCGTTTCCTTAAGAAAAAAGTGAATCCT